TTTTTCAATCAAATTAATCAAAATTCATTTTTATAAACCCGTAAAATCAAAATTAATTAAAATTTATTTTTACAACCGTAATTTTATTTTTTTCACAAATATGGGGCACGACATATATATATATATATATATGTATGAAAGTAGCTATTTTAATCAGAATTATTTTTTACTCCTATGTGTCATATCTAATTGAAGACTGTGCTAAGGCACAAGCAAAATTCTAGTTATATTTAATCCACCCAAATTAAACTATTCGTTAAGTATATACTGGTGTGCCAGACACTTAATTTTAACAATGAATAATCGTTGTCGACACCGAGTTGCACTCTCCTTTCAATTCCCTCTAATCAAATGAGAAACTAATGATTCAAAATTCTAAGAAGATTGAGATTGTGTTTTTCACAAGAAAAGATCAAGAACCCCAAAAAAAAAAATTCTAACTTAGTAGTAAGAAAAGGATAAAGCTAATTGATGAACTTGCAACTCTTGTACAATGGATTACCAAAAAAAGAAAAAAAAATTATTTCACAATCCTAACTTGCTATGACGTAGCCTGACGAAGCACGGAACTTCCCCGGACCGAGCTGACCTGATGAGCTCGGGGTGCTGATGGAAGAGTTGGTTCCAAGCCTGCAAGATAAACAGGAGAGTGAACTGGCAGGAGCCCCGAGATTGTCCCCGAGGGCACTCCGACGGCCAAGTTAGCTTGCCGGTGGACGGAGTTTTTAAGAGTAATGTACTGTGAGGGTAATCTGCCAATAGTGAGCGTACCTTGTACAGTTGGTATGGGTTACCATTTATACCTGTTTAGGAGTCCGACCTCCGTACGTTCCGGAACTTGCCCTGGATAGCTCCCAATCCCGCGCTGAGGGGGATTCTCCCCGCCCTCTGCGGGGTAGCTCTCGGGAGCCTCCCGGAGCCCTAGTCGCCGTGCGCCCTGGGCTGGTTCCCCATGGGCCCGGGGGGCAAGCCCAACTCGGATCAACCCTGGGCTGCCACATGTACAGGCCCAGGACGGGGCCTCTGCACTATCCCCCTAGATTAGGTCAGGCTCCCAGGCAGACCTGATCTATCCCCTTGTCACGTGGAAGCCCATCATCACACCGCTCTGCCGCGGTCATCTCCGGTGCAGTGCTGACATTGGGAAGTGGCGTCCGCGTCCTTTAAGTTGTCGCGTCCCTGCGGTCTCCGTACCTCTATTAAATGTGTTCACATGGGACGGTTCAAATTCAAGCAATCGTTTTCCCCCCATTTCGTTTCCTATAAATAGGGGCTGCCAAATTCCGGTTGACTCTATTTGCCATTTTCTCCTTTCCTCGTGCATTTCCAATTCTCAGTGACGCATTTCCGGCCAACAGCACCCAGATTCCGGCGACTTCTCCATCCCTTTCTTCACTCCAGTCACCAGTAAGTCCTTTCCTCTCTTCTTTCGCATTTCCTTTCCTCCTTTTGCCATCCTTTGCATTTTATGTCGGGTCACTCCGACGTCACTTCCACCGCATCCCAGACTCCGGTCCGTCGTAGAGCCATCAGAATCTTCATCTCCTCTTCGTCCTCGTCTTCATTTTCATCTTCATCTTCATCATCTCCCCCTCCTCCTCCTTCTTCATCCTCTGCTTCCAACCCCAATTTTTCCATTCCTGACTTGCTTGAGCCTATCGACATCATGAGGTCTCCGTCTGCTCATTCTCCTTCCGCTCGACTCCTGGAGGAGGCGGCCGAGCTTGATGCCTACATCCGGCAGCAAGCCGCTTCTGTTCCATCCCCCGAGTCCCCACATGACTCCCCTGGCGGAGCCCGGGGGGGAGCTGGGGAGAACAGGAACTCCTCAGAGGGGACCCCTGATGCCGAGCAGGGGGATGATCCTGAGTTCAACTACGGTTACCCCGACCGGGAGGAGACCACCCTCTCGCCCGGGGCGGTGGCCGAGCTGGCCGCGTCGTTCTCCATTCCTCCGGCCTTCGAGCCACAAGCTGCTGGGCCCACCGACCGGACTTTCCGACTTCCCTCAGGCTTTGTAACCATCTATAAAGTGCAACTGGTCGCGGGGTTTCGACTCCCCATTCCTCCGGCCCTGACCGAGATCCTGAGCTTCTGGAGGCTCAGGATCACCCAAGTCCACCATAACTCGATCAGGATCATCATCGGGTTCCTGATCTACTGCCAGATCTGCTCCATCCCCTATTCTATCTCTCTCTTTCGTGCTACCTACGCCCTCAAGGCTTCTCTCCCTGGGTGGTACTACTTCTGCCGCCGCTCCGCCAGCAATCGCGGTGGGAAGGGCGCCCAGGATCTCCTCTACGGGGTCCCCTCTTCCGTGAAGAATTGGAAGGGGGACTTCTTTTTTGTTAAAATCACGCAATTTCCTCCCACTGCGTGGAAGGTTGGGGGGGTCGGGGACGACCCCTGCCCGGAGGACCTGGACCCTGAGCCCTTCGGCCAGCTGCTGGACTCTGCGGCGAAGCTGTACGCAGCCAAGTTCTCCACTGAGCAGATTTCCGCAGTCGGGCTGTTGGGGAAGCTGTCCGGGTCCCCCGGAAGGGTGGAGTTCTCCCCCGCCAACCGAGATACCTGTAATGCTGCTCCTGTTCTTTTGTTATCTGCTGTCTTTTTTCCTATATTTCTCTGACTTGTAGCACTAATCCGGTGATGTTCTCTGTAGTGAAGAAGCTCTCCAGGCTATTGGGCGCGCCGACTGAGGAGGTCGCCTCCACCACACAGCCTGAGGCGGCAAAGAAGGCCCCTGAGGCCTCCGCGACTCCTGGGGGCAGTTCGGCCCCCCAGAAGGAGGCCTCCCAAACTCAGTCCCCCTCCAAGCAGGTCCCCGGCAAAAAGAAGATCACGGGGCAGAAGAGGGGGCGAGACGACGAGCCTTCCCAGCCTGCGAAGAAACCTGCGCAGGGCCCAGCACAGCGCCCTCTCCAGCTGACATCTGGGGGCCCTGTCCACCTGGTGGTGGGCTCCGCGGAGGAGCACGCCCAAGATAGCGCCCCCGAGCTTGTGGCACTTCCGCCACGTGGCCCCCACGAAGCCGAGTCAGGCCCCTACGATGCATGATCCCCGGCGCTTCTGCCCGTCCTGGGAGCTCTCCATCAATGACCGGGCCCAGTTCCCCGAGGTGACTCGCGAGCTGGTCACGGGCTCAGTCCTTCCACGCGACAAGAAGTGGATGGAGCTGGCCAGCCCGTCTGAGCTCCAGGACATGTATTACACCGCCCAAACCCAAGTAAACTCTCCCCCTTTTAGATCCCTTGGGTCCCTGTTTCTTTTCTCCGAATGTGGCTAGCAATATGCTAACTCTTACTCTCACCTCTCCAGGCCAACGCCGCCGGTACTGCCCTGGTGACCCGCTTTTCGGAGCTGTCTCCCGACTTGGATAAGATGCAAAAGAAGAATCGGGAGACCGAGCAGAAACTGGCCAAGGCCCTTGAGGAGGTAGACTCCCTTAAGGCCAAGCTGGGCAAGGCTGAGAAGGGGCTGGAGGACTCCCAGGTCCAGCTCGCCTCCACTCGGTCCGAGCTAGACCAGGAGAAGAAGGGCGTGGCGATACTGAGGGAGGAGCACGCCATTGAGCTCTCCGGCACCGTCAGCCGGGAGCGCAAGAAGGCTGTCCGGGACTTCATCTCATCCGATCAGTTCGCCGAGGACCTGGCCTGCCTCAACCAGCCCATCTTCCAGATCGGCGCCACGCGGACCCTGGACAAGGTGAAGGGCCTCAACCCACTCGGTTTCAACTTGGCGGATTTCAAGAACTATAATCCTGCGGCCGAGGAGAAGCTGGATTGGCTCTTCGACGGGTACCGCAAGGGGCATGCCCTGAAGGATCTGATGGGGAGGAGCGACGTGGGGGCCGAGCTGGCGGAGCTTCCCCTGTTGGAGGAGGAGACTCCTGGCAGGGCTTCCGGGAAGGAGCCTGTGGCCTAGGGCAGCGGCCACTCCAGAAAGCCTTTCCGTCTTCTTATAAGGATGTGACCATGCTCCAGTTGAAAATGCTCTTGAAGGTCCATCTGAGACGGAAAGGCTCCCCAAATCCTTTTTAATAGCCTTCTCCACCCGACCCCCAACATGCTTAAGATGCACCTTCAGCTCCTATCTCTCAACATGCTTAAGGTGTACCTTCAGCTCCTACCTCTCAACATGCTTAAGGTGTACCTTCAACTCCCACTTCAAGCAGATCGCCAGCAAAAAGAAGGCGTAGTTAGGTCCTTGTATAGCTCGGTAGGCTTTGTAATAGATAGGCTGGAAGTTTTGTAATAGATAGGCTTTGAATGCATGTACGAAATTCGAAGGATACTTCCTTGCAATTCTTTCCTGCATCCCACTGCAACAACCAAAGCCAAGTGCCAACCTCCTGGGTCGAGCACCAAATGCATACCCCCGTTAACCTAACAACTAAATCATTAGAGGGAACCAGACTGTCGAAACCCTGTGCCGACCTCCCGGGTCGAGCACCACGCCGTCCTACCAGGGCAACGTGCCAACCTCTTGGGGCTGAACACTGAATCCTTAAGGATCTTTCCCGCCGACCTCCTGGGTCGAGCGTCGAACCTTGAATCCCATCAGACCAAACATAGTCCGCTCCATGCCGACCTCTCGTGGCCGAGCGTCGTGCTCTCAGACTCCTCAGTTTTAACCCTTGCCGACCTCTTGGGGTCGAGCATTCACATGGAAGTTTTAATCAGCGTCGACCTCTCGGGTCGAGCATCGCATCTCGCCATGGCGCCCGCCGACCTCCTGGGTCGAGCGTGGAATTTTCAGGATCCTTCAAAGTTTTCCAGTCGTGCCGACCTCCTGGGGTCGAGCACTGCCGCACACATTACTAACCCTTAACCCCCCACTAGAACATTTAGTGAGGGAACGCTGAGTGTGCTAGTGTGAGATTCAAACTTAAAAAGCAAACAAGTACAAATAAAATCACAACTTGGCAGTCGAGCTTTTATTGAATGATGAAACTGAAATTCGGATCCCAAAGAACAGATAACTGAACACCCTGGTCTAACCTACGCTACAAACAGTCGCAGATTGGAGAAGTGCCAAGTGCGGGGTACCTCTGATCCATCTATTTTCGCGAGCTTGCAGTAGCCAGTTCGGCTTGCTTCTAGGACCAGATATGGGCCTTCCCAGTTAGGGTCGAGCTTGTTGGAGCCATGTGCCCGGCTGACCGAATTCTTCCTCAGGACAAGGTCTCCTGGCTGGTACTGTATGGTCCTCACTTTGGCGTTATGATAGCGGGCGAGCTGGCTTTTGTACTTAGACATCCGGACCGCCGCTTCCTCACGCCTAGCCTCCAGCATGTCCAAGTTGTACTTCAACTCTTCCTCGTTGGTTGTCGCAACGAAATTCTGTGTCCGAGGCGAGGGGAGACCAATCTCCGCGGGTACCACCGCCTCTACTCCGTAAGTCAGAGAGAACGGGGTCTCGTGGGTGGCCGCCGTGGACATAGTGCGGTAAGCCCAGAGGACACTAGGAAGTTCATCCAGCCAGTTAGACTGGGCTAGCTCCAGTCTAGTCTTCAGCCCCTGCAGAATGGTTCGGTTGACATTCTCCACCTGACCGTTGGCCTGGGGGTGTCCAACCGAGGTGAAGTGCTGGTTAATTCCGAGCTCGGCGCACCAACTTTTGAAGGGATTTTCAGCAAACTGTCGCCCGTTGTCGGATATTAGGATATGCGGGATGCCAAAGCGGCAGACTATGTTTTTTCAGAAGAACTTCTGAATTGCTCTACCGGAGATAGTGGCCAGGGGTTCGGCTTCCATCCACTTTGTGAAATAGTCGATGGCTACCACGAGGTGTTCGTACCTGCCCAGAGCTCGCGGGAAGGGACCCAGGAGGTCTATCCCCCACTGGACGAAAGGGCAAGGACTGTGGATAGGGACCATCTCCCTGGTGGGTTGGAGGCGCAGCGGGGCGTGCACCTGACAGGCTCGGCACTTCTGAACCAGAGCTACAGCATCACGAAACACCGAGGGCCAATAGTAGCCTAAGAGCAGGCACTTTTTGGCTAAAGCTCGGGACCCTACGTGTGCCGCGCACAAGCCTTCGTGCACTTCTCGGAGGACATAGTCGCCCTCCTCGGGAGTTACGCACTTTAGCCAGGGAGACAAGTACGACCTCCTGTAGAGGGTCCCCCCGGCGTAGACGTATTTGGCAGTTCGGAGCTGGAGACTGCGAGCCTCATTTTTGTCCTCGGGTAGGGCACCCGAGCTGAGAAGATCCACTAGAGGAGTCATCCAAGTTGCTGGGCTGTCTATAGCCGAGACCTGGATCTGGTTGAAGCTTTTTTGTTTGACCACCTCCACCAAAACTTCCTTGCTCAGGTGGGCAAACGAGGAAGACGCCAGTTTCGACAGGGCGTCCGCCCGCTTGTTCTGTGACCGTGGCACCCGCTCGATCTCAAAGAGGCTGAAAAGCTTTATCGCCTCCTGCACCTTAGCCAAATACTTTTTCATGACGTCCTCCTTGGCTTCGTACTCCCCGCGGACTTGGTAGACTACGAGCTGGGAGTCGCTCCGGACCCTGATCGCGGTCACACCCATCTGGTGGGCTATCCGCAATCCTGTCAGTAGGGTCTCGTACTCAGCCTCGTTGTTGGATGTCGGAAAGTCGAACCTGAATGCGTAGGTCAGCTCTTCCCCTGTGGGCGAGGTGAGTAGCAGGCCAGCCCCGCTTCCCTCCTTGCTCGAAATCCCGTCCACGAGTAGCACCCAAGGCTCTTCTGGCTCGGCCTCCTCGGGCAGAGAGCTCGTCTCAGTTGGGGACAGGCTGGCTCCTTCGGCGAGGAAGTCCGCTAGGGCCTGAGCCTTGATTGCGGTGCAAGGCTGGTAGCCGATGTCGTGCTCGGCAAGCTCGACGGCCCACTTGGTCATCCTACCCGAGACCTCAGGTTTTGTGAGGATCTGTCGCAGGGGCTGATCGGTCAAGACCACGATGCTGTGGGTCTGGAAGTAAGGTCGGAGCTTTCGAGCAGCATGCACCAAGGCCAGGACTAGCTTTTCAGCCGGCATGTACCGCGTCTCTGGTCCCTGTAGAGCACGGCTGACGTAATATATAGGCCTCTGAGCCCCCCTGTCTCCTCGCACCAAGACCGTGCTAATGGTCTCGTTGCAAGCAGATAAGTATAGGAACATGGTTTCCCCCTGTTCCGGGGCGGTCAGGGTAGGCAACTCGGCCAGATAGGCCTTCAGGTCTGCGAAGGCTTTCTGGCATTCCTCAATCCACTGGAAGTCTTTGGGGGCTTTCAGGATCCGGAAGAAGGGGAGCCCCCTCACCGCGGACCGTGAGAGGAACCTATTCAGGGCGGCCATTCTTCCCGTGAGTCGCTGGACCTCCTTCACATTCCGGGGAGGGGCCATGTCCATGATGGCCTGGAGTTTTTCGGGGTTGGCCCGGATCCCTTCTCGGGAGACCAAGAAACCGAGGAACCGGCCCGACCTAATTCCGAAGGTGCACTTCTTTGGATTCAACCGCATCCGACTCTCCCAGAGGATGCTCAAGATCTCCTTCAGGTCGGGGACGAGCTGTGGTCCTGCTCGGCTTTTGACGATCATGTCGTTCACATAGACCTCCATGTTCCTGCCGATCTGGTTTTGGAATAATTTATTGACCAAGCATTGGTAAGTGGCTCCGGCGTTCTTTAGCCCGAATGGCATCGTCCGGTAGCAGTAAGTTCCTTCCTCGGTGATGAACGATATTTTTTTCCGATCCTCCTCAGCCATCTCTATCTGGTGGTATCCCTTAAAAGCATCCAGGAAACACAAAACATCAAAACCAACAGTAGCATCTACTAACCTGTCGATCCTTGGCAGGGGAAGCAGTCCTTCGGGCAGGCTTTGTTGAGATCTGTAAAGTCAACGCACATCCTCCAGGACTGGTCCTCCTTCTTGACCAGAACAGGGTTGGCTAGCCAGGTCGGGTAGTAGACCTCCATGATGATTTTGGATTCCAGCAGCTTTCCGACCTCCTTTCTGATCACCTCATTTCTCTCTGGAGCGAAGTTCCTCTTCTTCTGCTTCACAGGCTTAAAGCGGGGGTCTATGTTGAGGTGGTGGACGGCCAGGTCGGTCGGGATCCCAGGCATGTCCTCTACCGTCCAAGCGAAAACCTGGGCGTACTCCCTTAGGAGGGCCTTCAGGTCATCCTTCTCTTTGGGCGGTAGCGACGCACCGATACGGATTATCTGGTCAGACCTGTCCTCCCTCAATGGGAATTCTTCGATCTCATCCTGAGTTCCCAGCTGCCGGTCCTCCTTCCCCCGGGATGTAAGGCTCCAAACTGGTCGCCTGAGCGACCACCTTCTCGTGTCCCCGGAGCATGGCGAGGTAACAAGCTCGGGCCACCTCCGGATCTCCATGCACCTCGGCAACTCCCCCCGGGGTGGGGAACTTGACGCTGAGGTGGAGCGTTGAGAGAATCGCCCGGAGGGCATTCAAAGCGGGCCGACCTAGGAATATGTTGTAATGGGATGGCTGTTTGACCACCACGAAGTTGACAGGGATGGTCCGGCATTTGGGTGCCTGATCTACCGTGACCATCAGGGTAATCATCCCCTCCGGATTGATGGGCGGTCCGGTAAAGCCTACCAGAGGTGTCCGGACAGGGGTTAGCTGTCCGTCCTCCAAGCCGAGCTCCTTGAACACCCTGTAGAACAGGATGTCCACTGTACTTCCCTGATCGACGTACACTTTCTTCACCCGATAATTATTGGTGACGACGTCTATTACGATAGCCTCATGATTTCCGGCTGCCAAGGGAACCGCGTCCCTCGGTCCGAAGGTGATCTCCTCATCCATGCGCAGACGCTTCAGTGAATCATCTTCGTCGGGGGGAGGTCGCCTGTTCTTCCGGGCTGTATGGCTGTCTCCTCCCATGGGACCCCCCGCTATGGTGTTTATAACCCCTGCCAGGTTCTGAGTGCCCTAGTTGGGGGAGTAGCCTCGGGCCGCGTCACGCCGATCAGGTCGGTCACGATGCTGGCCCTCGCCTCTTTCTCCACGGTAGGTGCGTCCCGACTCCTGGCCTGGGCGACCTTGCCGCACAAATCGCCCCAAGAAGCCGCGCTGGATAAGATTCTCGATTTCCCTCTTTAGGGCCCAACACCCCTCAGTGTCATGCCCGACGTCCCTGTGGAAGGCACAGTACCGGTCCTGGTTCCTCTTATTCCGAGGCGTGCCCATTTTAGGCGGCCGGTCTCCCAGGCCCTCTGTCTCCATGACAGCTAGGATCTGGGCCCTGGGTCGAGTTAGGGGGGTATAGCCTTTCTCCAGGATCGGTGGCGGAGCAGGGGCTTTTTCCTTCGAGTGCCGGTCAGACACATTCTTCTTGGTCGGGGCATCCTTACTCTCGGAGGGGTTTCCCTGTCCTCTCCGGTCTCCGAGCTCTCGATCTGATTCTCGTTGGCGGCGGTGTGAGCCCGGGTCAAGAGCTCTCCCAGATTCTTGGGGGGCTGTTCGACAAGCTTGTAGTAGAGCTCCTCTACCCTTAACCCGTTCATGAAGGCAGCCATGACCACATTTTCATCCTTGTCCCTAATCTGCAGGTTTTCTGTGTTGAAGCGCGTCATGAAATTCTTCAGGGACTCGTCCGGCTTCTGCTTGATGGCCATCAGGTGAGCCGCGTTTTTCGAGTAAGTCTTCGAGGAGACGAACTGGGCGGCGAACTGTCTGGCCAGCTCGGTGAAACTTTGGATAGACTCTGGTGCTAGGCCCTGGAACCAGAGCCGAGCCTTACCCTTCAGAAACATGGGGAAGGTCTTGCAACGGAGTGCATCCGCGGCGGTTTGCAGACGCATGTGCGTCAGGAAGACCGAGAGGTGGTCTTCCGGGTCAGTCGAACCATCGTACAGCTCGATGTTCGGGATTTTAAATTTCCGAGGTAACTGGTAGTCCTCTACCTCTCGGGTGAAGGGGGAGGTTGCGTAGTTGTCCTCGTACAGTTGTGGTCGCAGGATCTGCTCGAACTCGTCCCGGACGGGCTGCCATTGGGGAGGGTCCCGCGGCCGGCTCTTGATAGACCGGACGGGGAAGCGCTCCGGCTCGTTCCGCGCAAGCTTCCACGAGGAGGGATTCCTCAGTCGGCCCCCAGCGGACCGGTCGCGTGAGTATCTCTCACTGTCCCCGACCACCGAGGCCGCGGCCTGGGAGGAGTCCGCGGTCGTTTCCTCCTAGGGGGCTGGTCCCGGGACTCGTCCTCCGAGGGAATGGGGAGCGACTCCCTCTCCTTCCCCTTCGCCTTAGAGGTCTGCGCACCGCCGGCCTCACCCCCCTCTTTCGCCTGCCGGATTATGTCTTCCAGCATGGGGAGGTTCTTGGTTACAAACTGATAGATCTGCTGTTTCCGTTCCCCTGAAAGGGCCGAGCCCCCGGCGCCTCGGGCCGCCTCGGTCTCCATTCGCCGGCTCCGGGATCAGTGTTATCCACGGTTCGCTTGGAACGCGTTTTCTCGCCATCAACACAAATACTCGTATCTTCGGTTCCCACAGACGGCGCCAACTGACGAAGCACGGAACTTCCCCGGACCGAGCTGACCTGATGAGCTCGGGGTGCTGATGGAAGAGCTGGTTCCAAGCCTGCAAGATAAACAGGAGAGTGAACTGGCAGGGGCCCCGAGGTTGTCCCCGAGGGCACTCCGACGGCCAAGTTAGCTTGCCGGTGGACGGAGTTTTTAAGAGTAATGTACTGTGAGGGTAATCTGCCAATAGTGAGCGTACCTTGTACAGTTGGTATGGGTTACCATTTATACCTGTTTAGGAGTCCGACATCCGTACGTTCCGGGACTTGCCCTGGATAGCTCCCAATCCCGCGCTGAGGGGGATTCTCCCCGCCCTCTGCGGGGTAGCTCTCGGGAGCCTCCCGGAGCCCTAGTCGCCGTGCGCCCTGAGCTGGTTCCCCATGGGCCCGGGGGGCAAGCCCAACTCGGATCAACCCTGGGCTGTCACGTGTACAGGCCCAGGACGGGGCCTCTGTATAGCCCATTCTGATTGTTCTACTTTCTCCTTTGGGCAATGGTTTTGCCTTCATCGGAAATTCGGAATTCAGAAATAGCATTGGACCTAAGGATGAGGCCCCTGAGGAGAGCCGCCTATCGGTTCTCTGTAGTTTGAAAAATGAAAACAAGAAGAAGAAAAACAATAATAAAGAACTCTTGATAAAAAAAAGAAAAAAAAAAGCATAATGCGGTATCAGTAATTTGATGGTTTTTAGATATTTGAATTTGTAATTTTAATGAGTAGTGACTACTCAGTAGTTAGATGGTGGTGGATTCTTTTTGTGGTTCTCAGAAGGATTCTTGCCCGATTTCTACAAACTACTATCTGTTTTCGTCAATGAAGATTCTTTGTTTTTTTGGGCTTCAAAAAAAAGATTTCAAATTCATTCTTAAACTTTGCTTCATAATCGTAACCGAAATTAAAATACAAGTTATAAAGTTCACTTTTTTTTTAATCTTTTCATTTCTGATCAAAAGAAAAGGAAGACATCGGAGATTCAAAAAGAAAGGCAAAAAAAAAAAAGAAATTTACTCACTCGTCGGGACGTTTTGACAACAATTTTCGAGCAGTTGAAATCTCAAATCAAAAGAGAATAATGACAATCCACAGCAGATTGAACGCCATAGCTAATGCTGCTTTCCTCCCCATCCCTTGTTCTTCTTCCCTGTATAAAGCTGTTTAGAATCAACGCTTAATAAGTTTGGGCCTTAATCCCTCTCCCATTTTGTGCTTATGTACGGATGGCAGCATGGCTCGGTAATACTGCTGAAGTATTCACCAGAAATGCGACTATTTGTGTATACTAAATTAATGTTATAAGATGTCCAATACTTTAGTAATTGCATACTAAATATTACAAGAATTACAATCATCGGACACAACTGTACCTTCTTGTGTTCCTTGTCTTTTACGTGCTGATGATTAATTTCTATATAGGTAAGACAGTAGCACACTAGAGCCTCCATTTTATAGAAGTTTCACTGACTAAAAGATTTAATTTGATTCTCTATAGTATTCTATTAATTAGCTACTATACTATTCCATCTATTTTTAAAAGGATTCTACTAGGGGTTCTATCATGCTTAGTAGATGTATTATGATGGAAGCAATATTCCAACTTCTGGAAGCAGGACTTGTTTAAGTTGCAAGAATGTCTCCAAAGCATCCAAATGGATTCCTGAATCTGGATGGAATTTGTTTAAGTTGCAAGAATGTATCTATTCCACCTAACTCATTTTTGTTGTGTATGTTTGTCTTTCTGTGGCTGGCCGTTCTGTTTGCTGAGTCCCGTGCTTACCTTACTACCAGGATGAAAGGAACTAGTTATAGCAACTTTCTTGGGACAATGATAGCAACTTCCGGTGTATCATATGCTTTGCCCGAGTACTAATTTCCATTTTTTTTAATCAACTACCTCTGGAGTAGTAGAGAGGCTTAAGAGTTTCCTTGGGTGGATAAAGGATCAAATCCCTTGACTTGCATTTTTCTCTAAGATTTTCTAGAAAAATTTATCAGCAGGTGCAAAGGTATTTATCTAGTTTGGTGGCTGTTCAGTCATCTTCGAGTTTTCCATTGATCTCCTTGGGTCCACCGCATTGCAAATAATTTTTTTTCCTTTTTGTTTTCAACGAATTGAAGGGGAAGAGAAGAGAGTTTTTGAATGCTATTTGTAGAAGGCGAGCTGGACTCTCTCAATTTTTAGAGCTTATAATAAGAAACGCCTCAAACTAGTGGAAAACCACTTCTGTGACAATTTTAATTACTTATCTTTCATAAAAGTTAGTCAGACAATTGTTTCCTTCAGTCATCGAGCCAATTCTGCCTTACTACGATCATCTCAATTTACCCCATTTCACCCTGGCAGGAACCAAAAACATCATAGTTACTTCATCGATCGTTAACTTCAACGACATGCAAATCTCCAGATTGAACCAATAACATTTCAGCTATGATCAAGCCATTATAAATTTCGTCGCATTTCTTATAACTTCTTGCGCTGCTAGATTAATAGTGCATCATAAGACAAACGGCTGTGTCCAGAAAGTATTCACCAATTAATATAATGATCTTCTTTATGAAGAAAAAGAAAGTTTTGGTAGCATGTTCGAATCGTTTTCTGGGCGTTGATAAATGGAGCCGAAACACTCATGAATTTTTGTATATGGAATGCGGGGCGCCGTCCATGCTGCAAGCCTGCAGCTAAGAAAAATTGTTTATTAGCTGATTTAACTATTCCAGAATTGATTAGATAGAATAAGTAGCTTGTCCTGTCAATTTCGTCTCTATGTTTCTTGGAGGCAGTCTAGTTTCAGAATATATAAAATATAGTACGGTATTGGTTTGAAAACCACGAAGTGAATGTAAGGAACCTGTCAACAGCCTGCTTTAAGTGGCTTGCGGCTAAAAATATTGAGGATGAACGTCAAAACTTCCCTATCCCTTGTCGGGAAATGGACTGAACTATTGCTAGTATTATTGTTGTTGAAGAATAAAATAACTTTTGAACAAATTACAACAGTTGTGTAATATTAGTTTGTTGTTTATGTAAACTCCATACATAACAATTGTGTCTTTATTATGAAATTATGCAAGTGGTTAATAACTAATTATATCTTATTCACAAGATACTACAGTTGTATTAACAATCGTTTTTGCCCCTTTTTCATCCATTCTTGATGTCTAGGATTTTGAGCACTATGCAAGTTGATTCTACTGAGTCTATAAGATTATCTACATTGGAGTTTACGAAATAGTCAGACGAATTTCTCTTTTTTGCGTGGAATTTATACCTGTTGAGAAACTGAAACTCATTGCCCAAACTCACCAGTAAAAATGCTTTAAGATTTCACTAGTGAAAATCTTTACTCACAATTTTTGTCGTCCAATTCAGAAAGAGAGTGACTTGTGAAGAGGAAGTTCTTAGATCAATCATATCTCTCACTTACAAATTATTTTTGCTATACTCTATACTCCTCTTCACCGTTTCTCTGTCTCGCTTTGCGTCCTTCAGTCTCTCTATTTCAACATTTAGCCTTCCTTAATTTGAATAGGCTTCAAATGTGATTCAATTTGCTGCTAGCTTATATTCAGGTCAGCAGAAACGATATTTGTATCCCAAATTGCTCTTAGAGCCAAATCTACTTGGATTAGACTGCCTTCTCACCAATTTTTCCTTATGGATCCCGCAGAATAAAGTAGTTGTGCTTACTCCCATTACCGCGAGAGGTTTGTTCAACTTCAACAATTCTTCGGGAGTTGGAAAAATAAGTGATCTTTGTCTTCTTCATAGGTGACCATCGCCAAGAAAATGTCAATCAGAGGAGATTAGTGTTTAAAATCAATGATTTCAAAATAGGACCGTTAATTGAACCGGCGAGGTGTTCGGGTCGCGGTTCAACTCCGGTTCAAAGATTTTTTTTAAAAAAATATGTTATATAAAAATATATATATGCATAGAATAAGATATTCAATGGACTAATTTAAAATTTTATTTGATAAAAAATTTCATATTTTTAAAGAACTTGGACTTTCACAAACAAATTTTTTAAATTATAAGTTCATACAAATAAATTTTATCTATCAAAATATAATATTAAATGCTACCTAATAATACTACAATATTCTGAAATTAAATAAAATTCATGTCTTTAACAACTGGGCATTGTGAATTTAAACTTTAATCATGGCTTTGGAAATTAAGGATTGCAACTTTGTTAAAAGAAAAAAGAAACTTGGAGCCTGGATGAAGTTGGGAAATTAGAAAGTGGAGATGTAAACTTGACAAGCGGCAAAATATGAAAAGAAAGTGAGTGAATGTGACACTTAGTGACTAGTTTTTGGAGTTAATAAGAACCTATTCTTTTTTTTTTCAGTTTAATAAACAAAAACAAAAAAATTGCCGGTTCAACGATTCATTCCAGTTTGAACGGTTCACACGGTTCTCTTCAGCTTTTAAATTCAGTTAATTCAAAGTATGAATTGGATGGAACCATGACCGGTTCGCTGTCCAACCTATCAAACCGACCAATTCAACCCGAGTTTTAAAACACTGTTTAAACTTAGTGAATTGACAGCTCAGACATGGAGCAGATTCAAGTTACTTTTAGGTGGTTTACCTGCATTAAATTATTTTTGCTACCATCTTTTGATAATGCGAAGCCTCATAATAAACAGGGTCGCTGGAAAATAGTTTTGGCTAAGACGCCCATTTTTGTTTTTAAGACAATAATCTTAGACTATGTATTTCAAGTACAAACGATATTACAGCTTAAATTTGATACTTTCTCTTTTCCCAGAAACTTTTTCTGATTAACAACAAAAGTCCTACAAGGGGTTATCCCCCATAAAACAAACACAACAAACATTCTTGACGAAGATCACGGTAGGCAAATACAAAGATAAACCTGCTACACCAGTAGATACTTGATATATAGTACTACTACAGCATTTTTTGGCCAAAAGGGCAGAACAATGTGAAACATATATACCCCTTTATTCTTGCAGATATACCATAGTTCTAAAATTTTTGTTTTTCTTCAAGTATGGGGATAACGCAAAGTGGAACGGCTTTTCTCAAGGTTAAACCAAACTGCTCTTCCATGTCCAATTTCTCTGGAGCTATTCCTTCAGGCAATCTCCACCTAAATGCTTGAATACACGAAGCCAACATCAGACTAACCATCCTGATAGCCAGTGGAATTCCAGGACAAATTCTTCTGCCAGCACCAAATGGTATGTACTCGAAATCCCTCCCTTTAAAATCCAAACAGGACCCTAAAAATCTCTCAGGAGAAAATGAAGCGGGATTTTCCCAATAACTCGGATCTCTTCCAATGGCCCATGCATTCACTAGAACTTGGCTGTCTTTAGGTACGTTGAAGCCAAATACTTGAGTATCCTTGTTAGCTTTGTACGGTATTAACAGAGGAGTAGGAGGATGGAGTCTCATGGTCTCTTTCACCACAGCTTGAAGATATGGAAGTTGATCAATGTCTGAATCCTTAACTAACCTTTTAAAACCAATATTTTGAATTATTTCATCTCTTGCTTTTTGCATGGCTTCAGGTTTGCGAAGAAGTTCAGCCATTGCCCATTCTACTGATATTGCATTTGTGTCACTTCCAGCAATAAAAAAGTCCTATCATTATTAGATCAATGTCATGGCAATGATGATATAAGCTATACTAGCTAAATGCAAATTTGGAATCGCAAGTACCGGTGGGGAAGAATTATAAAGGGATAAATTTCTTGAAGAATTAATAATGAGGAGTTGAGGACTACCAATCGACTACCATCAGTTGTCAGATAATATTAAGAAGTACTATGACTCGTCATACTATACCTTTATTATTAAAACTCTACGTCCTGATCTGGTTAATTATTCGAAACTCAATTAAGAAGCATTATGACTCGCTGATTCTACATTTAAGTTTATAGACTATCACAACTCCAACAAGTCCCTGTCGTACGTGTTGGTTAGTGGTGCATAATCTTCCTGACCTCTCTATATAGATTAATAATCCCTTTTGAGACATATATCTATAGATTTTGTAGAGACTAGAAACAGAAAAGAACATATACCAAATAAGAAAGCTGTCGAAGTTAAATTTTCTCCGACTCCTTTTGCTCTTTAACAATGTTCTTTTTTTTTTTTGGTAGAAAGTCAAGAATATTCTAAATTAAAATCCCTTCAGCATGAAATGGCATGTATATTTATGGTTTGACTAATTTGATCCCATGAATTAGTGTAACAGAAAGAGAACTTACTGTACTCAGTGACTTGATAGTTTCATGATTAAATCCAGACCCCTCTTCTTCGCACTGATCAAGAAGCACATCCAAGAAATCATCTTTTCTACTCTCCCCAGATTTTCGGGCCTCCAATCTCTTGAAGATTAGGTCATCAAATATTTCATTCAACCTTTGATAAAAAGGTCTAATATTTTGTTTCACTCCTTGCAAGTCAAGCGGTTTTATCAGTGGAAAATAATCCGACAAATTTGGCTTCCCAGCATTATGCGTGATCCCCAGAATCAAATCCTTAAACTCCTGAGCATTCTCAGAGTCTAAATCCACTATGTCAATGGAAAACATTGTGCTGGATATTACATTAAGCGCGGTTGCAAAAGAAGCCCGACCTATGTCAACTGGAGCTGTCGAGTCAGAATGTTTTTTGAAGTACAACATGAGATCTTCAACTTTTTTGTGCCTCAAAGGCTGAAGCAAGTCTAATCTTTGGTTGGTGAACATTTGAGTGGCGCATATACGTCTGTAACTGCGCCACCGCTGGTCGCCGGGGGCCCATGCTAGAGACGTTTTATGGTAAGGCTGAGCGGTGACCACACAAGGGACAGTTCTGTCTGAGAAAACTTGTTCTTGTTTTTGGAGGATTTCTTTGGCTGCTTCAGGTGAAGAAGCTACAATGGTTGTGATGGAACCGAGTTTCAGAGTCATGATTGGGCCATGAATTTTGGCTAAGGCAGCTAGTGATTGGTTTGGTCGAGGTCCAAGCTCAAGAAGCGAACCAATTATGGGAAGGCCTTTAGGTCCTGGTGGGGTTTTCCTGGATGAAGAACCGTGGAAAAATGGTTTCATAATGAATAGGAAAAGAGAGATACAGAAAAGAAGGATGTGTAGCTCCATTTTCTCTCTTTACTTTCTCAAATTAGATTGTGTTGATTGCACTTTGTACTAAACTTATGCTTCCTATTTATAGAAATTGAAGAGGTGAAAGTTTCAATGACTGGTAATATAGTTCCGGTTCCAATTGGAGATGGTAGCATGCTGGAATCTTTTATGGGATTTTAATTTTCGATAATGGAGAGAAGATGACTAACTAGAGAAGAAGTTAACTATATGCAAACAATTGTAGTCAATGCAGGGCATTGTAGGTCGTCGTTTGGTCTTTAATTTGAAATAATTTGTGACACCTCCAGCTGTAGTTCTAAAGACTAAATCATAGAATACTGGCTCGAAAGCTACACTCTCTCTTTATTCTAGAAAAATCCTGGTGGAAGCAATATCTCAACTTCAGGAAACAGAATTTATTTTGATGCAAGAATGTCTCTTCTAATTCTTGATCCTTCTTTGTGTACCGAGCACCCAACTGCGGAGTCGTGCATATGGAGGAAATATGGTACGGCAACAGATCGAGCACCCCCTGCCGCTCTTCCACCAACTCATTTTTGTCTGGATCTGTTTTGTTGCTAAGTCCTGTGTGCTTATCCTAGTATGAAGCTGAAAGGAAATGGCGAGCAACTTTTTGGACTACCTTAGCAACTTCTCGTGTTTAATGGACCGGGGAGGAACGATTGTTAGATCTACTGTCTGAACGTGTAACATTTTTTATATATTTTGTAACTCTAAATAAATAACTTGTACGTCCTTGCAATAAAAGCATAATATTCCGTTATTGTACATGTGACTCTCATGAAGAATGATTGTATCTCTATTATAAAATTTTACAAGTAGTTCACATAAAATTATAACTTATTAAAAAATATTATATCGTTCAGGATCATTGTTACCGACAACCGTTTGTACCCTGATCCGTGTTTAATATGCTTTGTCTAGATTGAATTGTCTTTAAAAAATGATTAAGTTGAAATTTGCATTGTCATCTTCTTGCAAGAATCACGAAATTAAATTGTTTATGAACAAAGATTATTGGTCTTGCAGACTTAACGGACCCGTGTACCTTTTCCACCAAAGTTCAATCTGCATGAGCGGCCGAAAGACAATTATTTGAAACCTAAGCACAGCGCAAACTTTCCCTTTCCCTTTCGGGTTTGAATTGCTTAGGGTGAGTTAATCCGGAGAGTTTGAGAGGCTTTAACTTATAACTTCACAAACTGAAATCGTGCATAGTAACTATCCTGGTTTTCTCATGAAATCACTTTAGGTGAGTCAGTCACCAGACAAAACAAAAAATAAAATTTTTGCCATTGGAGGAATGTATCCTCTGATCTAGAGATGGGTTTCTCTCTCTCAAATTCTGTTTGTCTAGTTGGGCTCTCCCCTACTATAGATTAGAATAGAAACAATGTGTAGATGTTACCGATTGATAAAAAAAAAAAAAAAAAAAAAAAACTATCTTGTTTTCAAATTGACAAGTCAACATTCTTAATTAAAGCGTTCCGCCCATGAAATTATTTATCCAGGGGCACAGAGTATGATGTAGTGGTTGTTTTACATACAAATTACTTGGATTGAAAAATTTCTTAGTTTGCAGAAGAGATTTAAGTGTTTACTAGGAACTTTAGTAAAAAAATAATAATAATAATAATTGGAACTTGGTTTTTAAACGTCAAACAAAAAGTATAAGAATATGGTGGCTTCATGTTTCTTCCGATATTGGGTGCATCTTACTCTTGAATGTCATGCAAGAATCGAGTTGGAAGACCATTATTTGCATTCATCCAATTGTATTAAGATTAAAGAATCAAGATATTACCACTGGCCTTATGGTCAAGTTCTTTGCATGTCAACTAAACATTGCTTTTAAAAAAAAATACATGGTTCTTTATTTTGATTCTCGTATGCAATTAAGATTTAGTATTATGGGGAATATTAGCAACTCAAATAGTTTTTGAAAGGATTTCCTTCATAGAGGTTTAACGGACACTCGATAATATACTTGAATTACTATTTAAGTGCACGTGCTTTAATTTATAGTCCCTTACATTTATAAATTTTAGGTATAACTTTTTGAAAAAAAAAAATCAATGCCTAATGCTCCTCTTAACGAATACCAAACTATTGGACAAATTCTTTTTCTTTTTTTTTTAAGGCTTTTTCCTTAAAAAAAAGAGAAAAGAGCAAGAAAAATATCTTTCCACGCCTAGTTTCATCAAATCAAGTCCCTAAGGTTCATTGCAGTTGTTTTCACGTCGATTTGTCAGACGTACGATGTGAATACAGATGACTTGTTATTCCTGACTTAAAGCCCCACGGACTAAAGAGAATTTGGAGTTGCTAATGCATCTTAACCTTGGTTTGTTTATTTTTTGATTCGAACACAGATGAACTTGTAATGAGCTGAATTCCGTAGCTTCTAATTTCAAATCTTATGTGGTTATTTAGTCTAGTTTAAGCCAAGTTCGAATTATGGGTAATGCTCAAGCTTTTCATGGTGCTAAAGGCTTTAATTAATTTTTCCTGACGTATTGACTTATCCGGCTCTCAGATTTTCCACAACTAAGAAGTACTATAAATTACAACTAATTGCATCCGGCCATGATTTATTTAAGGAGAAATGCAGTTTTCGACCCTAATATTTGGCTAGGTACCAAACGGGTTGTTAATGTTTTGACTAAAACAAATTTGATCTCCTTAATTCAAAAATTCTAATGGTCAAAATCACTTTGCCATCAATCAATAGTTCTGATTTTGCATTTTTTGTCTCCGTTTTTTGGAATTGAATAGTTAAGGTCCCTGAAGTTTCGAATCATTTGTCTCCATTCACCTTTTGGCTGTAGGAATCATGCCAAAAAGTATCTTTCGTATGATTGACCGGGTATGTGCTAATTTCTTGTGGGGGACGTCTGAAGAGTCTAGGAGGTTTCATTGGATTCGGTGGAGAGACTTATGTTTCCCCCCAGAGGAGGGTGGCGTTGGGTTTCGGTCGACTGATGATACTTACAGGGCTTTCTCCTGTAAGTTGTGGTGGACCTTTAGGCAGAATCTCTCACTGTGGGCTGTGTTCATTGAGCCGAATATTGTCATGACACTCACCCTTGTCAGGTTGGCCTCAGATCTCCTAGTTCAGCAGCGTGGCACCGCATGTTGGACATTAGGGGATTTGCGGAGTTATTTATACTTTGGAGACCTTATAGTGGCTTCTGCCACTTCTGGTATGACAACTGGACGGGTTCAGGTGCATTATATCTTCGAGCGGAGGTGCAGGATCATTTGTCCTTCCACGACTTTATTGTGGGCAGGGCATGGGATAGCCGTTTGTTATCTCATGTCCTTCCGCCTGATTTAGTCCAGGCTGTGGTGGGCATGCCAATCCCCGGTACCTCTTCGGTGCACAAGATGGTGTGGACGGGGTCATCTTCTGGGAGTTTCTCATTATCTTCGGTCTTCCAAGAGGTGCGGGAGGCTAAACCCTCGTCCTTCATGTTCAGGCATGTTTGGCATCCGCACATCCCTCTAAAAATTACCTTCTTTATGGTGCGGTTGTTATGGGGACGGTTGCCTTTAGATGATATTTTAACCCGATTTTCGATTCACTTATCGTCTAAATGCTTTTGCTGTGTGGAGCCTACTGTTGAAACACTACAGCACGTGTTCATGTCAGGTGATATCGCAAAGGCAGTTTGGACGTATTTTGGGTCTCTCGGGTCTATCTCTGGTCTTAACTTGGCTCAAGAGCATTTAAGCGTACATTTGGCTAATTGGTGGTACAAGCCTACTAAGTCCGCAAGGCTAAAATTTGTCTTTCGGCTCCTACCCGTTTCTGTGTGTTGGAATTTGTGGAAGGCGAGGAATTCAGCAGTGTTTGAAGGGGTTATCAAGGATGTTCGATCCGTTTGTCGAGCTGTTTTTCATAACTTGAAGGACGCTTACTGGATAAAATTTGGTGAATTGCAACAGGTCGCATCTTGGCCCCAATTCTTGGGATTGGTGGAGCAATGGCCTGATATGTTTAAGTTTCGTCTGGTTCATTGGCAGCCTCCAGGGTTGGCAATGTTTAAACTTAATATAGATGGGTGCTCCAAAGGAAACCCAGGGTTGAGTGGTGGCGGGGGAATTCTTAGGGATGGCTTAGGGAAGTTCATCTTCGCTTTCACTGGTTGCTTTGATGTTGGTACTAGCTTGCAGGCCGAGGCCAAAGCGTTAGTGCTTGGGCTGCGTCTGTGTGCCCAGAGGAACTTTTTACAGCAATTGATTGTTGAGTCGGATTCGCTAGTGCTCATTCAGATTCTGAGGAACGGTTACCAATGTCCGTGGACGATTAGTTATGAGGTCGAGCAATGTTGTGAGTTCTCTCAGGGGAGTATACAGTTCAAGCATTGCTATCGTGAGGCTAATAAGGTTGCGAATGTTCTGGCCAATGTGGAGTGTGCCTTGGTTGAGTCGGTATGTATTTATGAACATTTCAGAGACCTTCTAGGTGTAGCTAGAGGCGAATATCAGTTGGATAAACTATCATACCCTTCTATTCGCCGACGTCGAGTTAAGTAAGTAGGTGTCTTGTAGCTGGCTTGTATTGTAGAGGTCAGGCTTTTGTCCCCCTCAAGAACCTTTTTGAGGCAATAAAATCGATTCTTCTTAAAAAAAAAAAAAAAAGAGCAAAATATACCAAATGTAAGACAAGTTGATAATTTTATAATTTTTTCTTTATTCACTTAAATAGGTTATCAATAAGTTTCAAATGAAATAGGCAATTTCACAAAAGTATTTGAATTGTTCAATAAAGTTATCAATGCTGATAAACATTAAACAATTGTTTTATTACTTTATCAATCGATCATTAGGTTTGAATAGGAAGAAAACAGTTTAAAAAACAAAAGGAAATTTTTTTGGTTTAAAAATAGCTGAAAGCACTTCCTATTGATACTTACCTTCACTAGTTATTTTAATCTTAGCTTCATACTACAACCGTAGAAATCTATGCCCACAAGTATTCCAATTTCCAA